TGGGTTTGGTTCTTCGTTGGGCTGATGTGTCTTGCGGAAGTGTAGTAGGAGGTCCCTTGTTTGCGGGTCGGTGCTGATGTCAACACCGCAGGACATCAGCTATGCCGTTGAGAGTAGGTTGTAGCGCAGGTTTGAAAGATGAGCACATCGTTCAGGGTGATGTGTGTCAAGGTGTTGTGCGCCTGTAGGACGACTATTCCCTGATGCCTTGCCACAAGCCGTTCGTTCTTGGCAGGCTGCAGCAGGGGTGTGTACGGCATTGGAGATGAAGCGTTTAAAGCCGACCATATGCTGTCCACAGCAACTGTCCAGGTACCAGGTGTTGTAGTTGTTGCAACTGTTCCGAGCAATCATTGTGATCCTCGGAGTTAGCAGGTAGGGCTTGTTTGAATTGTGCATGAGATGGTCCTTAGGGAAGTCATCCCAGCCTTGTCCGTCGCCTCCGGATGTCGTGTCAGTGATGTAGGGTGTCGGCTCCACTAGGAGAATGGGAAGATTCCATTCCAGCTCCTCTTCATGGATCTCGTAACTATCGTGTTCATTGTAGGGGTTGTTGTAGTCCCGGGCCACTATCGCCAGTTCGAAGTCTCTTTGACTTGGGCGCAAATGTGGAGCGACACGACGTCGATTCGCTCAGCGTGTGGAACCCCGAGTTCTCATCGCCATGAAGACTTGGCAATGGAAAGGTTGACCATGTGAGCATGGCTAAGTCGGACGAGGGTTCAAGGATGTAGAAGGGCGCGGGACCGGTCGCTGGTCCATGTGGGATGGGCGACGGGTCTGGCGCGGGTCCTGGGGGGAAGGGTCGATGGGTCTTCTCTGTGTTGTGTGATGTCATCATATGCTATCACATTCTGTCTGCCTCCCATCCCATATTTTTTCAACTTGCATGTGTGGTTTGAACGTGTGCAAGAATTTGTGTGTGTGTGTTCTGGAGTTTGGGAATGTGTTTGTGTTATTTTGTTTGAGCAGGTTTTGTGATGATAGATCTTGAGAAGATCTTTCCGACGCAACAAGAATCGCTTCAATCGGAGCAAGAACGCGAAAGCTATGAAGATTCAAAGTTCATGAGCTTGCGTTACAATTGCGGCGGTTACAAAGTGAAGTTGTGGGGTGACTTATATGGAGTTGGGACCTTTGGGGTTGGGGAAATTGTCACTCTACTGTAACAGCTGCAAATTGGTTGGGAACAACCAAGCTAGGTTGGCAAGGGTGGCCAACTTGGATGGATTGGTTGGGAAGGGACAAATGTCAAAGTTGGGGTTCCTATAGGGAGGGAATCTTTGTGCTTATGGGGTTTCCTTGGTTGGGGACTCTCTTGGGACCTTCCCTCTCATCCCTCTCTTCTATCCCAACCTTTCTCTTGCTCCTCTAATTCCTTGTGAGATTCTTGAACTTTGATTGAACTTTGAGATTGAGTTAAGTTCTCCTCCTACAGCTTACCCCTAGTGCGTCGAAAGCCATAGCGTCGCGAATACTTCATCAATCAACGTGATTCAAATTGGGAACGGTAGCTGAGATTAAGAGCTACAACATATCCAAGTTTCGCGACATTCCAACGGCTAGTTGTTTTGTCGACGTCGTTTCTTGTGAAGACGACTTTTCTGTCCAGAATTTCGGATTTATATTTTGAGTAATTCTAGCTCCTAAGTTCACCTAGACTCCGTCCTTAATCCTAACAAGTGGTATCAGAGCCATATTAAGGACATTGAGAGGAGTCTACAGAAGTGTGAAGACCCTTCTAGACCCACCATGGCCTGTGGGTGTGCCTAAGTGGTGTTCTAAAGGTTGGATGTGTCTTCCGCTAAGGGGAACTCTGCCGAAATTTCGTGGACGCCGACACTTGTGAAAATATCGAGGGAGCTGAGTGTGGACAGCAAAGGGGAGCTGAAATTCGTCATTTCTCAAGGAGAAGATGAATGAGAGAGGAGGAGATGCTAATGGAAGAGGAGCTGTAGCTGAGAAGACAAGTGAGCCGCCGCCATCAAAAGTTGAAGCTTTGGATGGCTCCAACTATGAGGAATGGAGCGGGCGGATGAGGAGTGCCTTCAAACGCTACAAGCTACTGAAGATTGCTGTTGGGGAAGGAGAAGATGCCGGAGGAAGAGAAGCACGCGAACGGTGGGATTGAGAAAAGCGCGGTGCTTTTCGACCTCATCTTCAATCGGTCAACAAGGAGATGTTCGAGCACATCAAGGATCTTGTGGAAGCGGATGATTCGGGTCCAAGGGCGTGGAAACTACTACGCGATGTGATTCAGCCCAACACTCTCCCGATGGTGATCGTGCTCGAGAAGGAACTTGCTGCCATCTCCATGCGACCAGGGGACGATGTGAAGCCGGTCCTTGACAAGATCAAGGACACCTATGCAAGGATGGCAGCAGCGGGCAGCAGTGTATCTCAGCTGCAGCAGTGCACCAAGATCATCTCGGTGTTGGACAACTCTTGGGACAACCTCATCCCCACCCTCAACTCTCAGCAAGATCAATGGACACCTGAGTGGCTAAGGCAGCAGATTCTGCAGGAGGACTTCCGCAGACGCCATGTGGGAGGCGGTGCTGCCACTAAGACTGCTGAGGGGTATGGAGCTGCAGGGCGCGGCAAAGGAAGAGGGGGTTGGAGAGGCCGAGGCCGTGGGAGGAGCTTTGGCAGAGGTAGAGGCCGAGGTGACTATAATGAGGGGCATGGGAGCTCTAGTGGCAGGGGGAGTACCAGAATGGAGGGCACCTGCTGGTACTGCAAGAAGGTCGGGCATCCTTGGTTCAAGTGCTTCAGCAGGCCGGAGGGATGGGCACCTCCAGGCATGAAGCCGCCCAGTGGTGAACGCGCACAAGGTGGCGCTGTGCAAGGCTCAGGTGCACAAGGTGAAGGTGCACAAGGTAATGCCTATCCTGGTTTGTTTCTTATGGTTGAGGATGTGCATGGGCATGAGGGTGATGTGGGATCTGTGGGAAAGGTTGTGATGCACCCTCTCACAGCACTGGGTGATTGATCGGGTTGCACCAGTCACATGACCCCACGGGCAGATTTGCTTGATGAGGTAAAACCCCCTGGGAAGATCAAGTATGTGGGCAGCAGCGTCAGGTGCTTTGCTCCCTGTCATTGGTGTTGGAAATGCCAAGGTTAAGGGAGCTAATGGGGAGGCTTGTGGGGCTTGGGAATGTTCTGCTGGTTGAAGGCTTGTCTGCTAACCTTCTCTCTGTGCGACGACTGCAGAAGAGCAAGGCCGAAGTGACCTTTGGACCAACCAGCTGCCGTGCTAAGCTTGGGAAGAAGGTGCTGTGGAGTCTGGAAGAGGAGACCAGCTGCATCAAGGACCTTGTGGCAGCTGCCCATCATCCCATGGAATGGGAAGACTCCAACAGCAGCAACGGCAGCAGCGGCAAAGGCAACAGCAGGAGGAGATGCAACTGCACCAACTGATGGGGTCCTGGAAGCAGTCAAGAAAGTGCAGCAGCAGCAGACACATGGTGAGGTGCTTGCTGGTGTGGATGCGAGTGCGGCATGGGCTAAGGCTTCATCAAGGAGTGGAGAGGCCGATTGGGAGACATGGCATGAGAGGCTGTGTCATGTGAACTTCCCTATGCTGCAGAAGTTGGTGAAGGATGGGAGCCTGAAAGGCTTGGAGGTGAAAGGGGGGAGTGAAGGAGATTGGGAGCTGCCCTACATGCTTGGAGACCAAGTTCTCCAAGTTCCCCTTCAACAGCACTACAGGACCAGCCAAGACCCCACTTGCACTTGTGCACATGGATGTGGTGGGGCCCACAAGAGCCCCTTCCCTCTCAGGCAGCCGCTATTTTCTTGACAATTGTGGATGACCACACTCGAGCAGTGTGGGTTTACCCTTTGAAGAGCAAGGGGGAGGTGGCAAGCGGCTGTCCTTAAGGAGTGGATGCCTAGAGCTCAGAGGGAATGTGGACACAAGGTGAAGGTGATCCGCAGTGACAATGGTGGGGAGTTCATTGGAGCTGATTTTGAGGGGGAGTTGAAGAGGAAGGGGATCCAACATCAACTGACAGTGCCCTACAACCCGCAGCAGAATGGCGTGGCTTGAGAGGTTCAACAGGACCCTGCAGGAGGGGGCACGCACTCTCCTTGGGGCTGCAGGCTGCTCTGATCCGTTTTGGGTGTCTGCACTGAGGCAGGTCGCCCTTGTGAAGAATAGGGTGCTGGCTACAGTTGGGGATAAGGAGTGGATCCCATATACCAAGTGGTATGGGAGTGCTCCAGCTGTGAACATGCTGAGGGCATTTGGGTGCATGGTGGTGTTTTCATGTGCCTAAGGAGAAAAGGGGGAAGTTGGAGGCTTCTGGAAGATGGGGTGTGCACTTGGGGATTGCAAAGGATCACAAGGGAGTGGCTGCTATGGGACTTGACCACCCAGAAGCTGACAGTGTCAAGGGATGTGAAGTTCTTGAAGTCTCTGTACTACAAGGAATGGAAGCAGCAGCAACAGAAGCTTCCATCTACACCGCTCATTGTGCGAGGCAGATGAGGTGGCAGCGGCCTTCAAGACAGGTGGAGGTTGCAGTGTCTGAGGAGGAGATGTCTGGGGTGACTGAGGAATGGGGGAGCAGCTGAGGTGGAGCAGCAGCAGCAGCAGCAGCATGAGTCTCCACCTCGAGTTCCACACCCGCCTGAGCGACCTAGGAGGGATGTGCGCCCTCCGTGAGGCTGACCTATGGGGGAAGAGGCAAGCCGAATGTGGTGCAGGCTGGGAGTGTGGTTGAGCAGATTGAGGAAGATGAGATCGCTCACTGCTACTGGGCACCAATCCCTGAGCCCAAGACTCGAGAGAGGCCTTGAATGGACCAAATGGGGAGAAGTGGAAGGCGAGTGAGGATGAGGAGTTCGGGTCCCTATTGAGAACGAGACATGGGACCTGTGTGACTTGCCTCCTGGAAAGAAGGCAATCACTTCCAAGATGATCTACAGGCACAAGTATGGACCTGAAGGGGAGCTGACCCGCTACAAGTCTAGGCTTGTGGCACGGGGGTTTCAGCAGACAAAGGGGAAGGACTATGATGAGGTGTTTGCTCCTGTGGGGAAAGGAACAACACTGAGGGTGCTGTTGGCGATAGCTGCACTCCTGGGATGGAAGATTCGACAGATGGACATTGTGACTGCCTTTCTGAATGGGATCATTCTGGAGGAGGTGTACATGAAGGCAGCCAGAGGGGCTGGATGATGGAGCGGCAGGGTCTGCAGGCTGAAGAAGGTCATCTATGGCCTTAAGCAGGCGCCTCGTGCATGGTATCACAAGTTGGAGGAGGCGCTGCTGGCTGGGGGTTTCAAGAAGAGTGAGTGTGACCCCAGCCTGTTCCTGCTGCAGGAGAAGGATGAAATCCTCATGCTCTTGGTGTATGTGGATGATATCCTTCTCTTTTCTGCATCAACTGCTTTGCTGGACAGCGCAGAGCAGATGCTGGAGATGCAGTTCAAGTGCTCCAAGATGGGTGAGGTGAAGTACTACTTGGGGATGCATGTGGAGAGAGATGTGGAAAAGGGTGTGCTGAGGTTGCACCAGAGGAAGTACTGTGAGGGGCTGGCTGAGAAGTATGGGCTGCAAGATGGGGGAAAGCCAGCAACACCACTACCTTCAGGGTTTACTGTGGAGCCATGTGCTGATGAGGAGGTAGTGGGTGAGAGTGACAGGAAGCTGTTTCATTCGATGGTTGGGTCGCTGAATTATGCTGCAAATCATACACGGCCTGACATTGCATTTGCTACATCACGGTTGGCTAGTGTGGTCTCACGCCCTAGTCATGAGCAGCTGGAAGCGGCCAAGAGGTTGGTCCGCTATGTGAGTGCTACGGCATCAGTGGGATTGGAGTACAGTGGAGTGAGGCAGCGGTTGCAGAGAGGTGCTGCAGATGTGAAGAGTGGAGAGATGCTCTTGAGTTGCTATACTGACGCTAGCTTCAACTCAGTGAAAGCGGATGGCACCAGCATTGGGGGTTATGTGTGCTTGCTAGGAGGTGGTGCTGTGAGCTGGCGCAGCAAGAAGCAGAATGAGGTGGGATTGTCCTCATGTGAGACTGAGTACATGGCCTTACACCATGGGGCCAAGGAAGTGGTATGGCTGAGGCGTTTGTTGGAGGAGTTGGGAGTTGGTCAGGAGGAGCCGACAGTTGTGTTTTGTGACAATGAGTCTGCTGTGAAGCTCGCCAAGAATGCTTGTCTGCATGGGCTGACAAAACACATAAGGCCTAAGTGGCATTGGGTGAGGAGACTCCTTGATAAGGAGGTGCGGCTGGAGATAGTGAAGACCCATCAGCAGGCAGCAGATATTTTCACCAAGCGTCTGGCGGAGGCGGATCATTGGAAGGGCATGAAGCTTGCTGGGATGAGTGTGCATTGAGTATGCATGCTTGAGATGTTGGTATGGTGGATGATGGTTGGCAGCCAGAGGGGGAGATTGTTGTGTGATGTCATCATATGCTATCACATTCTGTCTGCCTCCCATCCCATTTTTCAACTTGCATGTGTGGTTTGAACGTGTGCAAGAATTTGTGTGTGTGTGTTCTGGAGTTTGGGAATGTGTTTGTGTTATTCTGTTGAGCAGGTATTTGTGATGATAGATCTTGAGAAGATCTTTCCGACGCAACAAGAATCGCTTCAATCGGAGCAAGAACGCGAAAGCTATGAAGATTCAAAGTTCATGAGCTTGCGTTACAATTGCGGCGGTTACAAAGTGAAGTTGTGGGGTGACTTATATGGAGTTGGGACCTTTGGGGTTGGGGAAATTGTCACTCTACTGTAACAGCTGCAAATTGGTTGGGAACAACCAAGCTAGGTTGGCAAGGGTGGCCAACTTGGATGGATTGGTTGGGAAGGGACAAATGTCAAAGTTGGGGTTCCTATAGGGAGGGAATCTTTGTGCTTATGGGGTTTCCTTGGTTGGGGACTCTCTTGGGACCTTCCCTCTCATCCCTCTCTTCTATCCCAACCTTTCTCTTGCTCCTCTAATTCCTTGTGAGATTCTTGAACTTTGATTGAACTTTGAGATTGAGTTAAGTTCTCCTCCTACAGCTTACCCCCTAGTGCGTCGAAAGCCATAGCGTCGCGAATACTTCATCAATCAACGTGATTCAAATTGGGAACGGTAGCTGAGATTAAGAGCTACAACATATCCAAGTTTCGCGACATTCCAACGGCTAGTTTTGTCGACGTCGTTTCTTGTGAAGACGACTTTTCTGTCCAGAATTTCGGATTTATATTTTGAGTAATTCTAGCTCCTAAGTTCACCTAGACTCCGTCCTTAATCCTAACACTCTGTTGGGTGTGACCCCATTGACTTCCACTTGGGTTAGGCATGTAGGATGGTCTTGCACTACTTCCTGCTCGATTTTGGCAGCGCTCAGTAGAGTGTCCGAAGGTTTGCAATGCTTGCAAAAGTAGCGGCGACGGTGTGTGTCGTGGTGTGGCGCCTTCTGTCCCGAGTATAAGGAAAGCCATTCTTTGCGCGGAGCACTCTCCTTGTAGAGGTCCATATCCTGCTGCTCAGCCAACAGTGTTGCGCAAAGGGTCGTTCTAGATATTTCGCCCTACTGGACGGGTAGTGCCTTGCACGGTTGCCATCCGGGGGTACAGTAAGTCCAGCGAGCACAATCGTTACGAAAATATCTTCAGTTGTGGTGTTCCCAAGCTTGATGATCTAGTCGCGGATGCTTCGACATCGATTAATGTAAGTGTTGGCCTGAGCCAGCTGCTAGAAGTGAAGATGGCTTTATGGGATGAGCAGTCGACTCGACGACACGGAGTCCTTCGGCTGATAGAGGTTCGTCAGATATAGGCAGGAGTCTCATGCCGGAGCGGCGCGAGTTTTGAACGATCGAATTCCGAGTAGCTCGGAGGCGGATACAGTATGTTCCGTAGAAGCACGCTGTTACGCCATGAGCGATTCGTTATAATGTTGTTTCTTCGCGTCTTCGGTGTTGATCGTTGATAGCAGATCCGTCGAAATAGTAGAAGATTTGAGCGCTCTGCAGTAGTAGTTCGATCTCGAAACTTTAAATGTAAAAGTCGCGACCGTCGAAGATAGAGCTTGTTCTAATCTTAGAAACAACGAAAACTTCGATTGTGCTATCCACAGGGCTTCGTCGCTTAATTTTCTGCTTGCATGTAGTTGCGTGGTGGAGGCGTCAAAATTGAAGAATCCAGCAGTGGAGTCCTTGTCTGCAGAGGTTGGTTGCGTTTCAGTGGTTTGGCGAGCGGTGCTCGAGCTGTCATCTTCAGAGATTGAAGTCCCTCTTCAAGAGTTCACATTCGTAGGAGCAATTTTTCAAGGAGTCCTGTGGGAACGGAAGTGGTTGCCGCCGGATTCGGAATGCTTGCAGGTGCTTCGGGAGGAGGGCTTCCTTGCCCACGTGATCCCGAGCCTTGGGCCATTCTGTGGCGGGAGCGAGTCACTGGCGCCACGATATTTGAATTTGAAAACTATTGAGGATGTCGTGCGTAGAATCCTGATAAGTTCTTTTTACCATGAAGCGTTCCAATACAGTCCGTAGGATGTTCATGATTGAACTGCAGTAGTGCGCTTAGCGGAAGCGGTTGATTGGTTGATGAACCCCGTCAGAGTGAGTGTAACATAACAGTGTTGATTATAGCAAGGTAATACAGGGTTCATATAGTGATACAAGAAACGATGGGTCTAACTATGATGCACTTAACAAGGGTGCATTGCTGTTGGGCTGAGAAAAACCCTTTAGGATCTTTTGCAGAGACTAAGTCCAGCTGTAGAGACTTGAGACTTGGAGTAGTGCAGCGGAAGTTGAGGCAGTTGAACCCTTGTACTAGTATGTGAGAACAAGTGATTGATTAAAGAAACAAGCATACAGCAATATATAGTAGATAAGAAAGCAGTTGTAGAATACAGTTACAGGAACGGTTTATCGAGTCGCACAGCGACTCGATTGCCGCTTCGGTTACCATCCGTGATGTTGTAACGGTCAGTCGCAACCTCCAGTTGCGACCTTTCGAGTCCTTTCGCATTCTTTGTCCGCCCCCTCGTGTAACCTCCGTTGACTCGCGTGCTCCCCTGTAATCTTCCTCGAGTACAGTGTTACACTTCAGAAACGCTTAAGTCCTTGAGATATTTCCAACACTCCCCTTCGTTTCTGGAGTGCTGGAGTGTTCAGATCGGTGGCGTTTGTTTGCCCGGTTAGGAGCATGCAGTAGTCGAATTTTGCTTTCGCCAATTTCTTCGTCAGATAATCTGCGGCCATTTCTGTCGTCGGGCAGTAACTGAGTTGAAGTCTCCCCTTCGCGATTTCATCCTTGACGAAGAAGTACCGCAGGGCGATGTGCTTGGTTCGATTGGCGAAGCCGTCCTTGTTCGCGATTTTGATCGCAGATTGGTTGTCGCAGAGGAGTGAGAAGGCGGGCAGGGTCGCGATCTTCGCTTCTTCGAGTAACTCTCGTAGGTAGAGTCCTTCCTTGGTCGCAGTACAAAGGGCGATATACTCTGCTTCAGCCGAGGATAGTGCGATTAACTCCTGCTTGCTCGACTGCCAGGAGATAGTTCCGATAGGTTCTAGTCGGTAGATGTAGCCCGTCCTAGACCGTCGATTTTCGCTGTCTCCCGCGTGGTCGGCGTCGACGTATCCGAGTAGTCGTACGGACGGTGTTGTTGCCTTGCTGTAGGTAAGCCCGATCGTCGGCGTGGAGACGAAGTAGAGTAGCGCTCGATTGAGTTCTTCGAGATCTTCCTGTTGCGGATGCTTCAGATGTGTCGCCAGCTGACTCGCACTATAGGATAGGTCGGGTCGGCAGGTTACTGCTGCGAATAGTAGGCAGCCGAGCTTCTGTTGATACTCCTGGATTTGTTTCGCGGGGAGTTTTGTAGAGGCGCTGCCGTTGTTCCCGTAGCGGTAGGGAGTTGGGACCGCAGTCGGTGTTAGAGCGAATTTCTTCGCGACGGTGCTTGAGTACTTTCCAGCGTGTAGGTAGAACGCCGTGTCGTCTTCGACGACGTTCAGTCCTAGGTACTGCGTAACTTCGTCGGACACCGTGAGAGTTAAATCTTCTTTCAGCTCCCCTTCGAACCAGGTGGCGATGTCGGTAGTTGAGCCGATGTAGAGCAGGTCGTCGACGTAGACGATGAGCAGAACATACTCTCTTCCCTTCTGCAGTCGGTACATCCCTTGGTCATGCGGCAGCTGTAGGAAGCCGATTTTTACGAGACGGCTGTGAAGATGCTGCTGCCAGAGCCGCGGGGCTTGCTTGATCCCGTATAGGGATTTTGTCAGTCGGCATATTTTCGTGGGGTCGTCGATGAATCCGTGGGGTTGTTCGACGAAGATCTCAGCGTCCACAGGTGCGTATAGGAACGCATTCGCGACATCGATTTGGCGTAGTGGTAGTGTTTTTGTGGCCGCGACGGCGAGTAGGATGCGTAATGAGGTGTGACGGGAGACTGGGGCGAAGGTTTCTGTGTAGTCGGTTCCGTATCGTTGATCGAAGCCTCGTACGACCCATCGAGCTTTGAATCGTTCGATGGAGCCGTCTGAGTTGGTCTTGATGCGGTACACCCATTTCCCCGAGAGAACGTTCTTCCCGTTGATGCTCGTTGCAGGTACCAGTTTCCATGTTTCTCGGTCTTGCAGAGCTTTTAACTCCTTTTCCATCGCTTCTTTCCATTTTGCCTTATGTTCCCCCCCAGAGCCTGCGACAAGGTTGAAGGCTCACGCGTAGAAGGCGGCGGCGGATGCTGGACGGAGACCCAGAGGCCTAGAATCTGGAGTCCCGTGGGTGTGTGTCGAGGGGAATTGTCATTCCCCGAATAAGCTGCTTCGTCACCGTCTTCGGGGTCAGGTAAGAAATTGGGGCCGATGCGTTCCGAAATATTCGTGTCGACGGGGTGCGGTGTAGCGTAACCTTGGTCGGCGAAGTGGTAAAAGGTGTCGAGGTTGTTGCTATCGAGGGGATTATCTTCATCGAGTGGAACAGGTATGGAACAGAATGGGAGTGGCCCGGCAGCTTCCGAGGCTCCAGGTACGTCTTCTTCTGCTGCGTCAGCCTCGGCAGCATGGTCAGCGAAGGAGCGAAGGCCCGCGAAGCCGTCGGTGGGGTCGTCTGAGTTGGCAATGTTGTCCAGGTAATGCTGCAGCGTCAGTCGCTCGTAGAAGATAACATCACGTGATGCCACCGTATTTTTGTCTTGTATGTCGAGGATCTTCCACGCGTGAAAATGTTTGGCGATGCCGAGGTGTAGTCCCCACCGAGCTCGTTGAGTGAAGCGTCCTGCTCGAGCTGTGTGGGGTCTGTATTGTACCATGCAGCCGAAAACTCGAAGTAATTTTGTGCTGCCCCTTTTTCCCGTCCACAGCAGGTGTGGTGATGCGTTGTTGGGGAGCGATGACGAGGACAACAGGTTGTGCAGGTGGACTGCATGTGTCATCGCGTCTGGCCACAGTGCGTTGGGCAGCCTCATCCCCAGAAGCAGTTTTCGCATCGTCGTCTGCAAGGTCCGGTTCATGCGTTCTGCTACCCCCTGCTGCTGGTGAGCATAGGGCAGAGACACCAGGCGTCGGATTCCCCTTTCCGCGAGATAGGTCCTGAAGCGTTGTGACTGGTATTCCAGTGCACCGTCTGACTGGAAACTCTTGAGTTTGGTTCCTGACTCTCGTTCGGCGATTGGAAGCCATGTGGTGAATGCCTCGAAGGCTTGATCGCGCGTTTTGAGATTGAAGTGCCAGACGTATCTGGTTGCGGCGTCGATGAACGTGATGACGTAGTTGAAGTCGGCTTCGGTGTCGTCTCGAGGCATGTTTAGAATATCGCTGTAGACCTTTTCCATCGGAGCGTAAGTGGGTGCGCTTGGATTGTGATGGGCTGGGAAAGGTTGATGAGGAAGATCTGCTTCGGGGCATGTGAAACACCGTGCGCGTGGTCGTCGGAGTTCCTGGCCGCTCGTCGTCAGAAGGGCGTTGCGTTCTAACACTTCTGCTTGGATTGTTTGAAGTATCGTGCTGTTTGCAGGATGTCCGAGACGTTGGTGCCAGATGTCGTCGGGAGCGCGGTGACCGGGCGAGCGGTGGTAGATGTCGGCGTTGGAGAAGAACGCGACGACCGAGGCGGGACTTCGACAAGCTTCTCGTGTGGCGGGCATAAGTTGGTCTGCTTCGGTTGGCTGTCCTCGTGTCGCTGGTGGTGGTACTCGGCTGGGTCCTGCTGCCGATACTGCAGGTGATGGTTTTGTTGGGACACATGCGGGTACTTGTCTTTCTTGTCTGATAACTGCTAATGCTCGTGTTCTTTCTGCTGCA